GGGTTGTAAAATAAATAAACCCCGTTCTGGCTTGCTGGTATGTCGGCTGATAATGTCCTTGGCTGAGAGATTGTCCTCAAAATTTCATATTTGCCCACAAAGCTTCGCTTCTCCGCCAAATATTCATTTTTCGTACAATCTCTCAGCCGCGGACATTATCAGCCGACATACCAGCCGCCCGAAGGGGTTTATTTAGTAAATAGCTGCCCTTCTAGTCAGCCCCCTTTCTAGTACTTCTTTCTATCTCAGATCAAAAACTATAAAATACCAGTCTGCTACTCTAACCTCGCCATTTAACTTCCGGTAGGTGGTTGGGACAATCTTCACAAAGTATTGGTACATACTTCCTGCTGCAGCCATGAACAATGAAAGAAGTGAAGAATACGTTAATAACTCAAAAAATCTTTTCAATACTATTACAAAAAGCCATGCGCTAGCTACAAAAAACAGGAAAGGTCTAGAGGAAACATTTACCTTAGTATAAAATGAGTTTTACGAGATATTTTTATTAAATGGTAAAGAAACGGAGGAGAAATATTTACAGCAAACTTACCATCTTCTGCAGAAATATACGTATCATCTAAGGGATGTTTTATTCCAGGGTATTCATGGCCAAATGAAAGGTGGCGAATATGATGAGACAGGTTAAACTAAAACAAAAACAAAACTTGTTTTTTGATTTTGTGTGAATATTTATGGAATAGGAGCGCAATTTAAACTGCGACCTGTTTCTTGAAACAGTTGAGCCTACGATTTCTATGTGACATTGCTTGCAAACAAAGCTACCTTGGACTTTCTGTGGACGCCCACTGTAACTTCACTTTGATCACCTTGCTCTAAGATTCTCTACATTCTTTTCTTGCAAGAGGACCTTAGGAACAAAATTGTTCCTTGAACTGGTGTTGGTTTCATTTTGGCTTAATTGAATTGGATCTTAGGTATTATCATAGTTGGAGATATTATACACATACCGGTAATCTAAAAATCTCAAAACTAACACAACTTTTATTTTGATTTAACAACCTAATTAACAAAAATGGATGTTCAGTAGATGAACTTTTTAATTGATATCTTGAATACAACACATACCTGAGTGGATCCAAATGGCTGTAAATCATGCACTAATGACATAAAAAAAAAGAACAAACAGAGTTGATAGTTGATATATCAAACTTGGCCAGCATAACCCTTTGAGCTTAGCAATTTATGAAAATATTCCCTGGAGGGCAGAATCCTCTGTAACCAATGCCAAATGTGCTCTGGTAGATGTAACAATACATAAACACCCCATGTTCTTAAAAATTTGATAATGAATTCAAGTAGCTCCCTATTTAAGGACTGACTAAGACCTAAATGTGGTTTTTATGACTATCAACTGTCCAATAAAGCATGACATAAGTCTCAAGTAAATCATCAAAAGGAGGTATACAAAATTGTGTCATGCACTGTTTGTTTGTTTTCAAAAAAAAAAAGGGTGATAAATGGTGTATTATAAACACAAGCATTTTTTAGTTTCCTTTCTTTTTTTCTTATATTTTTTAGTAAACTTGCCACTAAATCTTAATAATAAAACTGAAAACTATGCAGATATTTAAAGCCCTGTTTGTTAATTTCTTTCAATTTGTTTTGTTTGAAAAGGTTTACCCAGTCTGAGCAGAGAATGTCTAACAAAGATATTCTTGTTCATTGTTAACTTTGTTACACTACAATTAAATTATTTGCCATTGCTGTTACTATATGTTTGTATTTCTGATTTCAGAACCAGGAAGTTAAAGTTGAAACAAAAAGTAAACTTTCAGGGTTTTAAGTTAGACAACATTTCCTGAGTTATATTTACCTCTTTTTAAAGTTTATAGGTGTATTTAAGAACATGGGTACCTAACTTATTATATTGTACCAGTAATTCAAACTTTAAAAATATCTATAGGCATTTTAATTTATCAGTGTAAAGCCTTAGACAGCAAAAGTGTGAGGTGTGCATTGCATTCATTTCTATGCAGCAGAAGACAGCCCCTTCACCATATTGCAATACTATTTGTGCAAATGTTTATGCCAGTGCCTCAGTTGTGCTTGCACCAAAAGCTGTGGAGGAGGAATCACATTTGCCTTAAGTGTAAAACACTTCGTGTAAATGACTGTCTGGGAAGAAATGACTGCCTTGCACTCCAGTTTAGCACAATATAACAGCCATTTACTTACTATTCAGTTTAATAACATTTCCCCCTGAGCTTAACTTGAGAATGGAGACTGCAAAGGGCAAATGGTTATATGAGAGACGTGTGTTAATGAGGTAATGAATAATGTTAGGTATGAGGTGCACACTGAACAATAATTATCTTGGTTGAAATGCACTTAATCACGAAAAAATTAACAAATTTGACATTTATTGATGTTGAAACTTTGTTCAGTAATTTGGCACTCAGCAGAAAAATTTCATATTTAAGATTTGAACATATCAAGTTAATTAGATTTTAATTATTTGTTTAACACTACCTGAGGTGCACCAAATGTCTTTAAATTCATAAACTTGTGTTTACAAGATAAGGTTTAAATGTGTCTTGAAGATTTAGATTACATTAAGGAAGAGTAAAGTGGTTTTATTGTACTGGATTGCATTTAAATTTTTGTAGAAACAGTGAGCTACAGTGCAGGCATAAATTTACCTATTTTAGTATACACAGTGCAGCACAGTGCAGTCCAGTGCAGTACAGTGCAGTGCTGCACAGTGCAGTACAATACAGTACAGTGCAGTGCAGTACAATACAGTACAGTGCAGTACAACACAGTGCAGTACAATACAGTACAGTGCAGTGCAGCACAGTGCAGTACAATACAGTACAATACAGTACATTGTAGTACAGTGCAGCACAGCGCAGTACAATACAGTACAGTGGAGTGCAGCACAGTGCAGTACAATACATTACAGTGCAGCACAGTGCAGTAAAATACAGTACAGTGCAGTGCAGCACAGTGCAGCTCAGTGCAGTACAGTACAGTGCAGTGCAGCACAGTGCAGTCCAGTGCAGCTCAGTGCAGTACAGTGCAGTACAATACAGTACAGTACAGTGCAGCACAGTGCAGTGCAGTCCAGTGCAGCTCAGTGCAGTACAGTACAGTGCAG